GTCTTCCTGTCCTCGGCGGTCTTTATAGCCTCGGTTATTGGCAGGCCGGTGAGCGTCTTTACCAGATCAGACCAGCAGGTAGGTAATGCAGACTGCTTCCTGTATAATTATTAGGTAGATTATTGGTACCGAAGTCAAGTGGTTAGAATCCTTGAATATTATTATATTACGAGACCTAGGCTCGATTCCAGATTTGTATCTTGGAGCTTTTAGCGCTTGTTCTTGCCGCTGTACCCACTGTACAGCAAGCAGACTATACCTTTTCGATAAAATATTTCGTTAATATGTATATTTAGATTTGTGCAGGAAGTACCTTATTACCATATTTATCACCGTCTTCCCAATACCTTTCCAAACTTCATTCAACTCTGTCTTAAGTACAGTGAAATCTCTCGAGCATAATAGGTACTCACGTATAAAATTCTCTAATTAATTACACACCTTATAATGCCGATGCCTACAGCATGCGGAGGTGATCATATTGCATTAGGTGGGCCGCAAGCTTGTATCTAACAATCCTTAATTAAATAAGCTTGATTGCATTACGTGGTAATGTGTTGAAAAAATATAGACTTTTCTTTCTAAAATAAGTCGATATTTTACGTAAATTAAAAATAAAACAAACAATAATATGTTGTCGTGTATTCGAATCAGAGCTGTCCATTGTTTGTAGTCAGACAAACTATCTACATTTAAGTGGAAAAGCTGAACCGATTTGCTGGAGACCAAAATAACGCTAAAGTTTTGCAATTCATTCTAAATTTAATCTGTATTCAGTTCACGTAGAAGATAACTTCGTTTTGATAAATTTAAACTACTTTCGAAATGAGACTATAATATTTTTAGAAAGAGTAGAGAGTAAGCATTAAAAATTGATCTGAGTAAATGTACGTAAATGATGATGAATTGAGTAAATGCACATCAAGATGTCTGCCGGAGTAGGAACCTCTCGCTTTGGACAAGAGTGACGTAAGCACGTAGCACATATTATATACCGTATTTATTCTTACTAGTGGCCCCGCAGTAGTCGAGATTCGGTTATAACTAATTGAAATTATAAGTTTAAACATTATTATGGTTCTATTGTCAAACACTATTATTTCCATAATATAATCACAGTATTCGCCAAAACTGCACTATAGATCAATAATATTAAAGACAAACAATGTTAATCTATTTTCAATTCGACCACAGACTTTAAACAATAACAAAAGTTTCCCAATTGACAGTAAAAAAGAGTATATTTTTATGTATGTGTTGTGTCAAATACATGGTAGTGTGTGTAATGTTTTCTGTATTGATTTAAAGTATCGTTTATGCATTTTTTTAAATAAATATTAGCATTGTACACTCCATCTCTGTATTGTCTATAAGTGTGGGAAATTTCATACTCCTCCGTCCGCGCAATTTTCGTAAAAGGGGGTACAAAGTTTTTGCTTCGCGTATTAATATATAGATTGTTCAGTGAAATAGCTACTTAAAAACGGAAAGAGATTCTTAATATCATTGAGTGGTCATTTACTAAACTTTTCAAAAATATGTATACCTATATAATATATACGTATCTTATAATTTAAAAAAACCTTCGTATATATTATTAATGTGATCATAGCATAAAATAGATGACATTTGAGTAGCACACAAAACACTCGAATACCGTACACACTATTTTAGATTCAATCTAAAATGAGAGCTACGAACGTCCAAGATTCCATTGTTTTGTTTCTATTACCTGTCTTTTAAATTGGTCGTTTTTCGTAAACATTCCGTCCGCCGTTGGCAAACCATTCAATGAACTCGTTTCAATGCTCTAAGCGACCGAACGTAGTCTTAATGTACCATTTAAATTCAAGGGCAATACTTCGCCATCTGTTGAAGAGTCGCGAGCTATTTATCGTCTTATTGAGTTCCTTCGAGTTCAGTTTTTTCTCAAACAAACTTCACGAGAACGTACTGTCGCCGTTTGAAAATCTAAATTCTAGAACTTTTGTAATGCAACAACAGATAACGCCAATGGATTCCACCTTAATGCATTCGCACGGCAGCTGCTTTCGTCTGAAAGCTGATTAAACTAATGAAGAAAATAGATAGAGCACATTGCGGCGTCAAATCGGCCGGACTACAGAGCAATGCCCCACTAGCAATTTCTCATGCAAAAGTCGAACGGTTACTTTAATTCTTGGCTGAAGCACTTGTCGGTTTTACGAGCGTAGAGCGATTTAATCCACTTAAAACCCAGAGCACAACTCGTAGCCGACAAAGCTCTCAGCCGCTCTCATTTAAAAATGGAAATAAACCCTCTACCATCTTTGACTCGACGCGCGACCGCCGGTTGAATTTTAAGTGTGGTACTCCGCTGATGTGGCTTCGATTCTCGTTCGCTGAATCTTTTTAAGCTATCAAATTGATTAACCTTTTAATAACGTTTACAAACAGTGTAATAACACAGTAAAAAGGTTTGTAAAAAATCGTTCTTGATTTAATGAAGAGGACTATGTGATAGTATGGATTATGAGTGTGATCCAAACCCCAGTCGGGCAAAAATCTATCTAAGTGAATATGATTTTAGTAATAATAATATCATTTAAAAAATTGAGGCTGCATTCTTACGTAGTAATCGGTGTGAGACCTAATGGGTAGATACCGAAATCCTACCCATTTTTACAATAGAATATGCAATTTCGAAAAGGGCACATCTCTGAAAATGTTAAATGTTCAGGAAATGAAAAAAAAACTGATTATTTTCTAAAGCAGTGTAAAATTTAAAATATTTTGAGATATATTTTAGTGCTAATTAGCAATTAAAAACTACTGGAGCTATTATAAAATGGGTGTAGGTAAGCCTCAAAACTACATGTATATGAAAAAACGTATTTGACAAAATATACCACATGTGCCCTTTTCGAAATTGTATATTCAATAGTATTAAAGTCTTTACGTGTAATATTAATTTAACACCGGGTGTGTTGTCTACACAATTGTAGTATTAAAAATGAAATCAGTAAAGAAAATTTAGTAAGTATTATTTTTCCTCAACAATACGGTTTCGGTTATTAATGTTAACACATTTACAAAGACATTTTTACGGTTAGCAAAATACAGTACTTGTACGTACATATATTTCATTATCTCCAATACTATTTCGACATAGGATAGTAAACCGCGTGCTTATCAAAGTAGTCGTGGCGTTTCGCGGCGCGGATCGCGTCTTCAGTTCTCTCAATGAAAGAGTTCGTTTGCACCGAGATTATTTCCAGTTTGTTTATTTTCTTGTCTACTTTCTGGCCGCAGTATCTTTCTGTAACTATCTCTGTGATGATTTTCATGTTGAACGCTTGCATTCGTTTTGTTTATACGTTAAACGTATTATGAAGTTGTTTTACTTACTAACTACCGTATGGACTTCTCTTCTGTATTTAATAGTTTTTGTTTTACAAACGCTACTTCAATTCGTCTCAAAAGTGTTTCTTTCGGTTACTTCAAATTGATTTTAAGTATTTTAATTGAAACTAAACACGCAATAATTAAATAAAAATCATTTACATATTTCAGTAACCACTTCATATGTATGTATGTGTACATAGAATAATTTAAATATTATTAAAATTATCATATAAATATTACTAATAAAAACAAACAAAAACTATAAATGAATATGAATAATTATAAACACATACATACAAAAATCTGGTCGTTACCGTAACCTAAATTTCGCTTTGGATCCGGAGTGCTCAACATACCGTCCGGTCCATTGCTTCATTATCGGGCAGTCCAGATCCATCCTTCAGGCGAAAAGCTGCAGTTAGCTGTTGGATCCGACTTGCACGCACGCCGCTTTAGGGACGCGACTCGCTTAATATTAAAATTCGTGTAATTACTGATTCTTGAGTACCACGAAACAGTCATGCGGATTGTAAGCTGTCCGCATAATTGTGTGTGTGTTTTTAAGGGATTTTATGACCTGGTAACTAAGACCTTTAAGTCGTGTCTTATTTTAATCTTTATTTTTATTTTTATGAAAAATGATGAAATGAAATGAAGATGATTAATTTGAGGCATTAATCAACTGGGATGAAATCAAATGAAATGGTATTGGATGAAACATAATCTCAGTAAAATGGTGGTGATTTACTAAGATTTTTTCAGTGGACTTTTTGGAGGATCCCGAGAAGTTACGTCCAGCGGCTTTGTTTCATTTTCCCACATTTGTGCACTTTCACAGATATTAAATAGTTAATAAACCACTGTTATTACACATTTAAACCTGAAGAAACACTAAATAGGCAAAATAAAACAAATCACATAACTTCACTTCTCGCGCTCCCGCCAAAAAGTCTACCCCGTATAATTGTGATTTCCATCTCAGAGTGACAACAGCGCTCTGTTCAGGCGTTTATGTACTCCGATGAACACTTAAAATTATTTAGGACGCATACTCATTTATGCAACTATAGCAACAAAACGAATAGTTTTTAGTGATAAATAACACCTAGGCTAAATAACACGTAATACGTAGGAAGTTGATAAACAAAAAATAGCTAAAGATTTTCAGTAAAACGACTTTAACAAACACGCAACGCTAATTACGACAACGAATACCCCCGATTTAATCCGGCCATAATTCTAACTTGCTGATCTTAATTGCCTCCTTTTTTAGTCTATTTTCCCCCTTTTTGAGAGCCAACGGAAATTACGTGGAAGGAAAGGATCACTTCAACCGAACAGGACTATACGCAGCATAATTACAGTATAACTTTTTTTTGTTTTGTTAATTTTTCCGTGTCAATGCCAATTACTGCCGAGCAATTAGCGCCGACCTGTTTTGTGGGACATTCTTTAAGAATTCCTTCTTCCTATTTTTGCTTTACATTACGGGCTTTAAGCTCACATTGCGCGCGTTTTATTGTTATAAAACAGTCGATCAGTTAACGTATGCGACATCAAAATTTCCTAGAGACAAAGTAATCAGACAATATCACAATGCTTTTTTTTCTTTTTAGGATGGGGATCGAGGCTATTTGGAAGGTTTGGCTTCTCGTTACGCAGACCTATTCTCCACTCACTACGGCGACGTCCTGGACCACCTTGAAGAACTTCGGAGGCACGAATGGGATGAGATGTCCCCTAGGATGAGAGTCTTGGGGGGCCCTGGTACCCCCCAAACTCCACCTTCAGCCAGCCCAGGCTCCTTGGCCCTAAATAATCTGACCACGTCGCATTCCCAGCCCATTTACGTGCCAGGAAAATATTCGGTACGTAAAACGTTTACGCCGATTGCTTCTGAATATTGCGAACTGATTTTTGTGTTGGCCCAAGATTTCTTTTGTAAAATATAAAGCATTTTTTTTTTCATTTTACCATTTTATATGAAATTTCAATAAATAAAAATTAATTAACTTCAAAAACAAGAAGTAAGCTATTAATTCAACTATATTTTTTTATGTTTGTTACCTCAGTACTATTTCTATGTGAACCGATTTGATAGCTTTTATTTTATTTGAAGCCGGCTGCTTCTCATATCCCATAGTCGCATTTAAATCTTATCAAAATATGACCAACAGTTTTTGGGTTGTCCTTGTTAATGCATATTTCATTGACTTCGATTACATTAATATAATATATTACATTAATATAATTTATACAATCTACTTTTTTTTTTTAAAGTTAGTATTATATATCGACACTTGAAAGGCAAACGTGACTAAGCGACAATGCGTGAACTTTACAGTAGACTAATTTAAAGTTGAAATACCTGAAAAAAATTTCTATTTTAACGAATCTAGCTGTAGGATTGAAATTATTGTAATAGACCTAGAAATAAATTTTTTTTGCGCATCGAATACGGTTATTGCCTATTATTTATGTACAAAGCAGTTATTGTCGCTTAGTCACGTTTGCCTTTCAAGCGTCGATATTATACGTTTGAGATAACTATTCATGCGCTGACAAAATGTATGACCCAGATTAAGCACAAGATAAATTAAACAATTAGCTAATACGATACAAATGAATTTTAAATTTTAAATACGGATCACACATTTATAATTCAAGTATATTAATTTCCATTGACCGTACAAATGAGGGAGGGTTGATAAACTCGATCTCGCAGACTGACTAAGCTTCATGAATATATGATAAGAACGACCGGGGTAATCGGGCCGGACCGAATCTGGTCTCGCTGGTAAATTAACTTGAAATATGAATATTGAGAGGACTACAAGTATACTGTAGGTCAGATACGAGATTATCTCGACCGGAATTATTTTGATTTCGATATTCTTTTAACTTAATTGTTTAAAATAATAGTAACTAACGACCCGCCCTCGCTTCGCTTCGGAAACTGTAATTTATTAGTGATTCCTCTACTATTTAATGGATGTTATTATACACATAAACCTTCCTCTTCAATCACTCTATCTATTAAAAAAAACCGCATCAAAATCCGTTGCGTAGTTTTAAAGATTTAAGCATACATAGGGATATAGGGATAGAGAAAGCAACTTTGTTTTATACTATGTAGTGATAAATGAAGCCAGATAATCGAAAAAATTCATCTATAATCTATTTCGAATTAAAATTTTAATAATAAAAATATAAGTTAATTTTTGTTAAGATCGAACGAACGGCAAAAAAAAACTATATTTTTTTAAAATAGAAAGAATATAATAAATAAATATATTAATATTGCAGTCAGCTTTAGCAATAAGACAGTGGCTTGACTGCGAGCCTGGCACTACTGGTCTCAATGAGGAACCTTCGACCACTAACTAACCACAAGCTTGCCTACATAAAAATAAATGAATTCAAAAACATGGATTTTCTTTTGAAGTTCAAAGAAGACGATTTTACGCTTTTAAAAATTACTTGCTTAACTATAAAATTATAAATCACATTCTAGTAACTTCAACATCTACGCAAGCCCTCAAGAAATAAAACAGCAAATAGGTAAACTACATACTTTTGACGTCCCATCGTCTCGTAATTTCCGGCAATAGTGAAACACATCCGATAGACTTCCATATCCATTTCCTATTAAAATTCCCGGAAATATATCAACGGTTCAGTGATAGAATGACTATCGAAATCATTCTATTGTTTATCTTCGTCGAATTTCCGTGTAATTGAGACAAAAAAGAATACTTTTACGGTGTAATTCGCGTTTATGACTCGCAATTTGAAATTTACGACGTTTTTCGTATTTTGTATTTTTCGTGGTCACAGCGGACAAGGTGATTGTCATGTGAGGATTGTGCTAACTGCCGTCAGTTTCTTTAATATTAATTGATAATTACGTGTCTTTGCACTTTTTTTTTTATTGCCTAGATGGGTGGACGAGCTCACAGCTCACCTGGTGTTAAGTGGTTACTGGAGCCCATAGACATCCACAACGTAAATGCGCCACCCAACTTGAGATATAAGTTCTAAGGTCTCAAGTAAGTTACAACGGCTGCCCCTCCCTTTAAGCCGAAACGCATTACTGCTTCACGGCAGAAATAGGCGGGGTGGTGGTACCTACCCGCGCGGACTCACAAGAGGTCCTACCACCAGTAACTTTAATTAATAAACGGAAATTTTAATGAAACTAAAACATTTTAAAGTTCACATAGTAGATGTTGGACCTTATTGCTCTAATTCGATATCCTGTTCTTTCTGTCTGCCCCTTTAGGGTCTTTCTGTAAGCTATATAATAAATATACTGGTAATTTTTGCTAGATAAGCATTGAACATTTATATATATTAACTACCTTAGTGCAAGTTTAGCGTACTCAAACTTTTTCAAATCAAACCAAAACTTAGATATATTAACATAACAACAATTTCACTACCTAAATAATCTCCGACAATTATACGTTATAAAAATGGCATATCCAAAAACAAATTGTGAAATCGAGTAGATAAAATAATATATTTCTTAGTAATGTTTGTTCATAGTACTTACAGTACATCCAAAAATTTGATTGAAAATTTTTAACTGTGTAACTATATTGTGTTGAAGTTTTAAATTTACATTTATTAAGATTTTACTTTGGAAGTTGTAGTTTGATTATCCTTTGAATTGAACGGTATTATCGTGAGCCCAAACTCGATGGCTCTATTGGCTGTTCAATAATGCCTTTACAGCCCTCCCACCTCATCAGATCAGCTCGATAGCATTTTATTATAGCAGTAGCAGATCTGAACTACACGATTTTCTAGTTTCGTAGCGATTTGACGAAATCGAGAGCGCATAAAATTTAGTTCGTTATTACATAAAATAACATACTGTATTTTTTATATTTTTTTATTGCTTACATGGTAGGACGTGCTCACAGCCCACCTGGTGTTAAGTGGTTACTGGAGCCCATAGGCATCTACAACGTAAATGCGCCACCCACCTTGAGATATAAATTTTTAGGTCTCAGTATAGTTACAGTTACAACGGCTGCCCCACCTTTCAAACCGAAACGCATTACTGCTTCACGGCGGAAATAGGCGGGGTGGTGATACCTACAAGGACTCACAAGAGGTCTTACCACCAGTTGGTTGAGTTAAAATTATCGTTTAGGAGCTGACGACGAAATTTGAAAGATACTTTTTTTTTTGTTTAGCCATCAAGCTGCCTAACGGATAAAGAAGAAGATGAGATCTACGGTTTCGGGTACGGCGTGTTCGGGAAACAGATGTTGCAACGTCAACAGCAACAAAAACAATTGTTGCTAGCTCAACCGTCCCAGCCCTTGATACATAATCAGCAACACAATTATCAAAGGTATGTTAACAAATAGGCGAATTAGGCTGCCGTCCACCGGAGCGGAGCGTAGCAGTGGAGCGGAGAAACGGAGAAATATTTACCAACAGGATTGAACAACATCTCCGCTCCTCTTTAGTGGACAGGGAGTTGCGAACTAGTTTAAAAATTCATACAAAATCCGTAAGTGGAGCGGGATAGCGGAGCGGGGTAACGGAGCGAGGCAGAGGAGCAGGGAAACGAGTGCGGTAAGACGCGCCCGTAGTGTGATATGACTAGTTGCGTAGGTACTAAACTCTGCTCCGCATTACTTTTTCGCTCCGCTCCGCAGCCTTGCTCTACTCCGGTGGACAGACACAGTACGCAACTCCGCTCCGCCTTACTTCGTTGCTCCGCTCCGCTGTCTCGCTCCGCTCCGGTGGACAGGCAGCCTTAAACGATTAATTGATAAAAATTTCCAGTACGATGTTGTTGATGTTACAAAATTCACATTATTCCCCTGCCCTTATCCCAGATACCTGGAGTCGGCGGAACATGTTTTCTCCTTCCATACTCTTCTATCATATACCACTCCTTCGCTCACTCCCCTCTTACCCATATCGTCTTTCACGCAATCCATCCATTTTTTCTTAGGTCTACCTCTTCCTTTATATCCTTCCACATTCATAGCTAAAACACTCTCTTACCAACCTCATTTTCATTTCGTCTCATCACATATGCAAACCATCCCAAACGCGCATTTCTCAACTTCTCTGTCACAGGTGCCACTTTCAGACTTCCTGTAACATATTCTTTCTGTATTCTATCCATTCTCGTTAATCCAAACATCCATCGCAACATTCGCATCCCTGCTGCTTGCAATCGCCTTTCATCTTTCACATAACCTACATTATTCTTTCTCCCAATATTTTATAACGCTAAATCCTATTCGTGTGTACATTAGTGATAAGACTAAGGGCTTAATTCTAAGTCTACACATCGGCAGCATTCCGCACTAATGTGTGGTGAAAAACCGCATCTGACAAAAGTGAACAAGGTTCGGAACTCATAAATTATTTAGACTTAAAGGTGTATTCGTTAGATAAGCTTTGCTGCATGTTTAGAGTCTAATCTTAATTGAAATCAGACATTCGATTGGCGACAGAAGCCTTTGCGGTGAAAATAGTTACACTACACACAGATCTTAAATTTGTGCAACATTTTTGTGCTTAGAACAAATTTTATGGCGTGACGAGGTTGACTATCACACGTTTGACTATCACAAAACAATTCTACCATTCCTAGTGCAGGTCCGGCGTCCCGAGGGGGAGGGTGATGGGAGATATGTGCTCCGCACTAAACACTTTGCTTTCCCCCCTTTGCCTTTTCATGACTTCTGTCTCATGCGAGGTTCGGACGTGGGTTGTTGATCGACAGGAGGTTTTTTAGTCAGTTCAACTCCGACATGCCCCGCCTTCTATCTCCAGTGGAGGGCGGAAGTCCGGCGATTTCCTCCTGACCAAAAAAAAAGAAACATTCCGATTGGCCTTTTATGTTTGCTTCTCACACAGTTTTATAATTAGACTATCGTTTAAAATGTATAAAATTGGAATTTCCTTGACTGCTATAGTGACAAAGACTGCTCTAAACTCTAGACTAAGCAATAAAAGTATTAGTAATAATGATAAAGAAATAAACAAGTGTCAAATTTGGACTAAAACAGCTGACTTCGTAGTCAAATCACCAAAAAACTGTGTTGTTGTTTTTTTATAAAACGAACATTACGAATCATTGCTGATAATTCAAGATAGTTTAAATTGTAGCGTTGAAATTACTTGGAAGTTTTAATACCAATAGAACCGTGTGCCACTGGAACGCGTATTGAAGAGTAGTTCTCATTATTTCTATCTAGTTGCTGTACAATAAATTCTAGTTGTTACACTGATTGATAAGGTGTGTACATAAGATTTCTCTATGAGATAAATCTGGATATGAATACATTTCTCACGGACAACCATTATAGTAGGGAAAAACAAACTATAAGCAATAATCTTCGTAGTTATGTAGGTGTGTTCCGCTGGTACAGCTATAATAATGTTTTTATTTTAAACCCGTCACTCACCGATACACAGCATCTTCAACAATCAACATCTCTATCGTTACTTAAAATTTGATAACCAACAAACCATCCGTTCGAAGTACTGTTTTTTTTTTTTTAATTCCCACCTATGCTGATAGGTCAATCTGGCTGCAAACTAGTGTCTCCTGCCTAGCTTGAGGCCAGGTGCAAGTGTACGATTTGTCTTCGATTGTTTGTTTATTAATTATGCAAGATATCGTTCTCCGATTATCGTCTTCATAGTACACACCTTTTTGTGTGGTGTATGTGTAATTCTTTTTCTCCTCAGTCGTACACTCCTGGCGTAATGTTCGTGGTTATTTATGTATGGTGCTATTGGTTGGTTGCAGCTTTAGCGAGGCTTCTCCACCTCTCTTTATTTGTGGCGGTGCGTGTACATACAATAAAGGAACATTTTGTAGATGACTTAATAAAGCCTGTCCATCTTGCGAGTGATCGACTGCGAGAACGTTAACGGTCTACTATTCTTTGAACCATTAATCGTTTCAATGTTACGGATGACATGTCCAAACATCTTAAGGATTTGCTATTGCAGAATCGACGAAAGCTTTTGTTTGATCGTTACACTTAATTATCTATGAGTAGAATTTCAAACTGTTTCTTTAGTTCATTTTACTTTTTAATTATTTTAATGTTACATTGTAGTGTAATGAAAACATTGTAATTTCAAGACGATGAGTTCTAGGCATTTACTCGAACTAAATTCTTTTTTTTTCGTCTTCTTGCGCGTACGGGGTTGCTGCAGAGTATTCACTTATCAGTCTGCATAGGTATTTGGCATGGATTTTACGAATGGCTGCCTGCGTGATGATGTATACACTATGATAAACGATTCACTTACCTGTGAATAATACTAGAAACACCACTTAAGCCTTAATTTTATTGTATGTTTTATTTATTTGTATATAACAGTATATTAATATCTATGTCTTTAATAATGAAGTATCATTGGTAACAATCATTTCTTTTTTGAAATTTTAAATATCAATTATGAAGTTTAGTAATCTATGGCGAGAACACGACAGAGATAAACTTTAGAGCATCGCTCGTAAATATATCGAAGAGTTGTTCCTTACAAAAATTACATTAAAAAATTTTACATTCACTTTTTTGTATTTAAATAAACACAATCCGATATAATATGTTCTATTCGTATTACAAAACTAACACTCTGACATCGAGACCTATACAAACGTCGCGTAAATTGCGAGAAAACCCACAATTTACTCGGGAACACACCTACGCGCCGTATCGCTGGATGTCCAACACTAATTATATACAGAACACTGGTCCAACTAATGATTTGCCCAGTAAAATTGGCATTCGATCGAAAACACAGATAGTTTAATAACTGCTGTAGACTCGTTTTGTTTGTTAGTTAATAGTTTCCTGTGTTCCTAGGCTATGGCGAGTTGTTATATTTATTTGGACTAGACGTCCCGCAGTAGTCGAAATTCGACTAAAATTAATTGGAATTGTAAGTTTGTACACTATTATGATTGTAATTTATAATTCTATAATCACAAATTTCGCCAAGGCTACACTATAAAAAAAATGTTAATAAAGACAAACAATATTTAATCTATTCTCAATTTGACCACACACGTCAAGAACAAAAGTTTGACAATAAATAGTATGCATGCGCGTGTGCGTCAAATACATGGTATGTAGTGTGTATAATGTTTTCTTTATTGATTTAAAGTATCTTTTATGCATTATTTAAAAAAATATTAGCATTGGGCACTTCTTCTCTATATTTTCTATAAGTGTGGAAAATTTCATACTCCTCCGTCCGCGCAATTTTCGTAAAAAGGGATACAAAGTTTTTGCTTCACGTATTAATATATAGATCCTATACTAATTTGGTTTTGTGATCACAGTTTCTTTCTAAGCGGCGTAAATTAACGAGCTTAAGCTTTATGTAGATGACAACGTAAGTTCCATAATGATGATAATGACTTTGAGATATCGGTCAAATTTGTTGTATGCCAATAACCAATATCACGTGATATTGGTTAGCATATCACGAGTGAGACTGCCCAAGGGCACATTTTTAGTATTACTCAAATAATTAATAACATAACGGTTAAATCATTCGATCATTTCGGACTTTTCGAATACTATAAAGTTTTCGTGGTCAAAGACGACTGGGTTATTTCATCAGTTTTAGTTAAATCTAAATTACTTCTAATAGATTATAGTTAATGAGAAATTCACTGAGAAATTGTTCGAGTAGATCCCTCCATCTCCTTTTACCATCACACCTCTCGCGTTCATCCACACTATCTCTGGAACCGCTGCGTTCATCCATAGTGCGTATCGAGAATCTTTTTTGCCACGTACCATCCGGCGGAATGAGCTCCCCTGCACGGTGTTTCCCGAACGCTATGACATGTCCTTTTTCAAATGAGCCTTGTGGAGAGTATTTAATGGTAGGCAGCGACTTGGCTGTGCCTCTGGTCATTGTTCTCGTCGAACCCGTCGCTTGCGACGAAGGGCTCGACGAGTAAATTAACCCTCAGACACAGCCCACTGAGTTTCTAGCCGGATCTTCTCAGTGGGTCGCGTTTCCGATCCGGTGGTAGATTCTGCGAAGCACGGCTCTTGCTAGGGTTCGTGTTAGCAACGTCGCCAGGTTTGAGCCCCGTGAGCTCACCTACTAGTTAAGGTTACGCTGAAATAGCCTCTCAAGGCTATCAGCGTAAGTAAAAAATGGCTGTTGCTGTATAAACGAAAGTAATCGCTCATCATCAGATGGGTCATATGCTCGTCTACCTACAGAAGACGAAAAAGAAAAAAAAATGAAGTAAAATTATTTCAATTATATATTACCTTGGAAATCCGAAAAAAAAAACAAACAGCAATCTTTTCATTTCTCATAACGCACAATACGTTCAATAAT